TATTATTGACCTACATTGAGTTTCCTTCAAGTAATAATAAAAAAGCACATTTTTCCATTAATGATATTATTAATATAAATGCTTCATCAAGCGTCTTCATACTAAGGTACAAAAACATTTATTCAGTTTTTTACGAGTACATTTCAAAGAAAACTGTTATTACATGATAATTTGAACAAAACCTCATTTGCTCATACTGGAGAAATAGAATTTCGTAAATCACCCTTTAAATCATTTTATTTGAGATACTAAACGATACTCCTTAGAAATAGAAGCTGGATGAGTAGATACATAACGGTTTCCTGATATTTCCACACAATTTTACTGAAAAAAGTTTTTTTTCTCGAAAGATGATATGTAATTAGGAAGTTGAAAATTTTAAAAAGATATTCGGGGATTTGAAAATATTGTTTTTCACATTTTGAATGCTATATTATATATTTTACATTGAAATTTTATAAAAACTAGAGCCCGAAGTATTTACCGATGTAGAATAAACCTTGTTCTTAGTAGAGGTTATTCAATGATTTTCATGTAAGTTTTTTGTGAATTCAAAACAAGTACTTTTACCAAACATCAAAACTACAACACTACTCTCGAGGCGCGTGTTACCAGTCTAGTTGGCCTCCGAAGTTGGAAATGAAATACACAATACAATTATTGTGTTCAATAATAGTCTTAACATTATCAAAATGAAATCTCTTGAACAAACTCTAATTATCATTCAAGTCTTCACTCGAATTTTTTCTGCGGTATTATATCGCAACAGAGAAAAAACAACAATCATTTCTATCGGATTAAAATTTCAATACTCGCATAATTATGCCCAATCTACTCAAATAATATCACTCATAGAATGAATTCAAAATTTTGATATTCCAATGAGAAATAAAAGTGAGCGACGTATTAGTTACACAGAAACACAGATAATAGTATGAATTCAATAGAACTGAAATATTCAGTTTGAACTAACAATATAGGTATTATTTGTTTTTAAAAGCAAATACGGTCGTTTCCGTGAATTGATATGGAAGTGAAAATAGTAATTTTATTTTGTAAAACATATTTCACTAGATAGATCGTTTTATTCTCCAGAAAATATATAACAAAATAACTATAGTGAGCATGAGAGAAAGCGTGAACGTAAGGCTGACCGCTTACGATGGTGGATTAATAATAATAATAATAGGTTGTCAGAGATTATAGGTAGGAAGAGCTGTCACTTTTAATATTTCTCTCGTTTCTGGGGTAGTGTGAATTGGAAGAGGGTATGTCTATTCGTTAGTATATCATGCGTGTACATTTTCCCCCATTGACAATTTTGTCAATGATGTGCTTTGTCAGCTTTTTCATCTTCATTACTGGTTTCTATCAAAAAGGTATGAGCACTTCAGTATTGTTTCATCATAACTTTCACATTAAGATATACAGGGCGCTTCAACGAAAACTTGACCCCCCTTGTAAGTCAAAAACGGACGTGTAATCGAAAATTTAAAAGAACACGTCAATTTTCATTTCCAGGGGGAGTAATTCTGATATGTCAGGTCTTCTAGATTTGTAGAATTTATTTAATTAGTAGTAAACATTTTGAAATGGACGACACTGTTAGTTTTTTCCGCAGTGGTAGTTTTTGTTGAATATGGTTGTTGCAGAACAAAAAGTAGATAGTTAGCCACTGTCTTCTTCACGAATTATTATACAATCATCCTTGTTCCCTGTTTTCCAACATGGTTTATTCCAGTGAAGAAAGAATAGGAATTGTTGCAACCTATTATCGAAATAATGACGTGTTAAAGCTGCTGCAAGAATTTATAATACGAATCATCCAGACCACAACGTGAGATATCAGTACGTTAATCAGAAGAACTACGATAGATAATTGTTCGGGAATGCCGATTTCTTATTCCGGACATCTTCAATAATGTAGTAACTGAGGGGTTCATCATGGTTTGCCTGGATGGTGTCTTCAACACCTTACTCTACCGCTGTCGCGTGATGGGTATAGAGGTTCCTGACACAAGGTGCAGGGCCTGCCGTGAGGCGCCAGCATATGCGGTCTCGGCCTATATCCATCGACATAACGCGGCTAAACAGGATTCTTGATTAAAAAATTATGGGTTTCTATTGGTTGATAATCTGTATCGTTATGAAAAATCTGTATCATAATGGATATCATTATGAAACGGATTATGGTCACATAACTGTATTGTTAGAGTACGGGTGTAGAAAAATATATTTTGTGATATACAGATTAATTGGCCTATTGTTAGCTTTCTGATACGAGATCAAGTGCTGTTGAGGCCCAGAGGGAAAATGTATTCACTGAGACTAAGATTAGGATTATCATATTTCGAATATCATGAAAACTGCCAGTTGAGTCCTAAATATATTAATGTGGAGTAGCTTCTCTTTTATTATTATTTTGAATGACGCCATCGATTTTGTGAAGTCAGTGATCTGGAATTTATTCAGAAGATTTGCCGTGCAGTATGTGAAGGAACGTTTGAATATCTTTTTCTTATGGGTCGGTATAGTTATAATTCCTCTTCTACGAATATTTATATTATGAACATGGCTTCTAAAGATGATTTTTTCGTGTAAATGTGGAGGTTTTTCGTATTGTAAAATTTTATAGAAGATTCAGGTTGTATGAAGTAGTCTTCGATTATACATATTCATCCAGTTTATTTCCTTCAGTTTATGCGACACTCTCTATCTTCGCCTTATACCAAATGTCAACCTTAAACAAGAATTTTGTGATTTCTGAATGCGTCCGGGAACTCTATTATCTAAACACGGCCCAAATATGCACAGAAGTTCATGTGTGAGAGAACAATTGAATCACATAGTTCTTTCTTTGTGCTTTGATTTAGAAATTTTCTCTGGGGGTAGATCATTTTCAAACTAGCATAGGCAATTCTCTACTTTATAGATGATACTTGCAACGAGTTAATGATTTTACGAACTGTGCAGTATGAATTGCATGAGATAATGGACCCAAAATACTCCCTTGAGGTACACCAGTGGTGACAGTAATCGCCGTAGATATCTCATTTTTAAGCACTACTCGCTGTAATCTGTTCGTTAGGAATGATTTTATCAAATCGCAAGCTAGCACAGAAAAGCAGATATGATTTAGAACTGCCAGTAGAATTCTATGATTCAACATATCATAACATAAAACTTCAACATTTAATTTCTCAATAACGAATGAACCAATTTCGAAAAAAAAAATACAGAAGTGATAGAGGGACAAAAGACCTTTTAAATGATGTATCACTCAACCCCCCATGTCATTGAAAAAAATAGGGGTGGTAGTTGCTGAGCGCAGGGGGGTGAAGATTCGGGTATGACTTCCATATTAGAATTAGTCCCCTTAGAAATAAAAATTGACGTGTTCATTTCTGACTTACAGGAGGGTCAGGTTTTCGTTGGAACGCCCTATATATGGTTGTACCTTTCAGTTTGCCGCTGGAGTTCTTTGGTATCCGAAGTTTGAGAAGGTTGTTATTTAGTGTTGAAAATATAGGTCGCGTTTCATGTTTCGGTTATATTCTATGACGCACAGCAATTAGTTTTCTTTTTATCTCATTGGCGTCAAATAGTTTTTTGGTGTCTGGATGTTTTTGGTCCATCGCAGATATTATATGTTCGGAGATTCGCCCACTAGAAGATTTTATTCAAATGTTCACTTGGACTATTTGTTGGTAATTTTTTCGCTAAACTGAACAAGGGTGAGCTCAATATGAAGTATGATTGCAAACTTATTAGATGGGCTGAAAAGTTCGTAAGCTATCACACAGAAGACGAAACTAGTATTAAATCTATATAATTTTTAATTGATACTAACCTTCAAAAGATACGTGTACAAATTTCATAGCTGTCGGACAGTTAGCTTGTGGGATAGAACATTTCGAGTGGAGCAAGTTTTGTTAGTTTCAAGACAATGAATAAAAAATAGTTTTGTATGTTGAAAAGGCATTGCTTTTTGGCAAACAACTACTATTGAAGCCAAGGCTTGGCTTGTTAAACAACATAGGGACTTTGCACGAAGAAAACCAACTGTTGAGAAGTGGTTTGCTAAGTGTAAAGGAGGTGAAACGAGCACTGAGGACGATGCACGCAGTGGACGCCCCAAAGAGGCCGTTACCGATGAAAACATCAAAATAGTCCATAAAATAATTTTGGATGAACGCAAAGTGAAGTTGATCGAAATAGCTGAGGCTGTGAAGATATCAAAGGAGCGTGTTGCACCATATCATGCATAAATATATTTGGGTATGCGAAAGCTCTTTTCGAAGTGTGTGTAACGCGAGCTCACAATTGACAAAAACAACAACGAATTAATGATTCTGAGCAGTGTTTCAAGCCGTTCCATCATAAAAAATCCAAATTTATGCATGGATTTGTGACAATAAATGAAACATGGCTACATGGTTTCACAACAGAATCAAAACGATCGTCATCTGAGTGGACTGCACGTGGTGAAGAGACTCCAAAGCGTGCAAAGACGCAACAGTCATCGAGCAAGGTTATGCTATCAGTATTTTGGAATGCGCATGTCACCGCTTATCTTGAGAAGGGAAAAATGCGCCCATTTGAAAAAAAAAAGAAACTGCTGTTTCATCAATACGACAATGCACCATGTCGCAAAACAATGGAAACGATGGCAAAATTGCATGAATTGGCCTTCGAATTGCTTCCGCATCTACTATATTCTCCAGATCTGGCCCACAGCGATTTTTTACTGTTCTCGTACCTTAAGAGAATGCTTGCCGGAAAGAAATTTAGCGCCGATGAGAAGGATGTGTCGAAATATTTTGAGAAAATCTCGAACCTAAAAAATCATAGTCAAAAATGATTTTAATTATTCACATGCAACACCCTGTATTTTTGAAACTAAATAAACCTCCAGTTTCAATTTGGCCATGTAGTTTTTCTGTAACACGTACGCGAAAAATTAACTTAGAGGTATGAAATATCAACTTAAATAACCTCACCAACAGAGATGATTGATGACTGGCTTCTCATTGATACTGACCTGGAAAAAAAAGCTAGTGTAAATATTATTCGATCATCAACATTTTTATATGTACAAGGTTAGTGAAGAGTATCAATAGGTACGGTCCCTGAAAGTTAGATGGAACATATTTCCAATGATTTTTCATGACACGAATATGCAGGTCCCATGTGGCCACTTATTTTCAAATATACAGGATTCTTTGAAAAATGTATTATATTAAAGTGATCTTTTTGAATAAAACATCCCTTTTGCCATTGCGTTTTGAAGTCGATTCCAAAAACTCCATTTCAGTACTGAATCAGTCGTGAAATAATTTTTTTTGGACTTTGGTTCAGATATTCACGACATTTTTCTCGAATGGTTTCCTTACATGGTGTTCATAGATAACTGGTCAATTCTGTTCCGTTAAAAATATCAATATCTTCAAATGGAACATCCCAATGTGAAGGTTTCCTGATTTCTTTTCGAACAACTATGTTTTCAGGAATACCCTGTATTAAAAAAAATATTTTGAAACATGGTCTCATGTGATTTGCATTTCGTGGCATGATCAATATGTTTTGTTTATCTTTTACGCACTGTCTCGTTACTTGTGACTCTCCTTGTATATTTTCAATCATACCCTACTATCATTTTCTGATAAAAAAAAAGAAAAAAAATCACGAAGGCATGCAATCGTACGAGGACCACAAGTATTTTTGGAAATGAAAAAACAAAATTTCGTGTTAAAAGTTAGAATTTGACGAAATTGAGTTCAAACTTCGAACTTGGGAAAATAAAATCGAAATTCAATGAAGTTTCTAGTTCACAGTAGGAATTTTCAACTTCAACTCTGAACTCTGAATTATAATGAATTCCATTTCGAACCCAGAATTTTATTTTTCAGGAAATATGTGATTTTTCGTGAAAAAAAAATCTGAGATTTTTAAAGACCATTCGACATTAGTCTATATTATTTCTGAACATTCAATATTAAGATCATTCAATCTTGACTGTAAATTATCTTTCCCTTCAGTTTATTTCTTTGAAATGATGTTCTGATGAAAATTCACTCAAAGTAGTTAACCATGCATCTGGTTTATTGAATACCACGGCTGGTCAAAATGAAAAATAGTCTGTCGGAACCTTTTGGCGGTTTTTTTATCGCAAAAGCAGCTTTCAACACTGAATAGATGTTCAAATTTAATGCATAAATTTAACGCTAGGGACAATGCGAACATGAAAGGGTATTATTAGAACCATTATATTTGCATGGGCAGTCCCAGGTAACGTGCAATATAACCGAATGAATTCGAATAAAAAACTAATTAAATTGAATTTTCGAGTGGCAGCCCAATCACAACGGATTGAATTCAAATAAACTGGTATAAGTACAGAAAAGAACTGTTTTATAAAAAACAGGAGCAAATCATTATGTCACGGAAGTTGTTTCATCTCACCAGTCGGCAGTATTATCGTGAGAACAGAAAGACTTGAGAAATAAAATGAAGAAGTCCAAAGCGAAAGAGACATTGTAGACGTTTTGAAAATGAAGTGTTCAAAGTTGAAGCTCCTCGATTAGAAATCAGTTGAATATTAAGTAAGGATATTCAGACAGACAGAAGAAAAATGTGTATATTATTTTGCAAAAAATTGCAGCATTGCGGTTTAAGGTTTTAAAAATTATCGAACAACTTTCACAAGATGAGTTGAAAACAAAATAATCAGTGAAGCAATATGGAAATGTCTTTTTTTGAATAGTATTTTAGTATTGTCAAACTGATATATTTTAATAATCAGACTTGATTTTAACACATACTGTGAATGATATCTGATTGAATTCCACAAACAATGTGGAATACAAACTGAATTGGGAAAAACGTTTTATGTATAATTTAGTGTTTATATGAAAGTATTTGTTTCGAAAGTATTTTTGTTTCGTGTGACTCAAACTGCTTCCTTTCTTTTTTTAGATGATTTCCATATATTTTTTGTATAAAGCCAGAACCTTTCTTATCCAAAAATATACTCCTTTCAATTCAAACATACTTTCCTTGTTTGTACCTATCCCTTTGTTTGGATGTTTTTTTTTTAATTTTCTTCAGTTGCTCATCTGTATGCGACATCTTCATATGAAATATGTTTGAAGAATGTTAAATGTGTTTTCCATTAACCACTATGCTTCGTTTCGGAGGTACAGGGTGTTGAAATTGAATATTTTGGTTCGTTTTTTAAAAATAACTTTTGCAAAAAATGAGTTATTTGCACGAAATTTTGTACCAATTTGCATGTTACATCTAGAGGGCGCTGCGTATGAAGTCATTATTCATTTCAAATTGTCCTAACTTTTTTGACATTGAACTTTGATACTTTTCATGAGAAAACTCAATTCCCACACCTTTTCCAAGTAAAAATGGTACACTTCCTCAACAACGCTGGAGGTGATCGGTTTCGAGAGATTTACAATTTTTTATATCGATACATATTATTTCGTTCCTATAGAGTGCTAAGTAAAGTTTGCTGAGAACGTTACAAAAACTAAGTATGTGGTGGATCTCGTCAAAATAAACAACTTTTTCCTTTGAACGTTTTTTGCAACTTTAGAAGTCAGACAACTTCTAACAGTAGAAAAAGACTCTCATTTTTATGATTTACCAAGCACTTATTTGGGTCTTATTGTGAGTTGAATCAAATCATAATGCATCAATATATCTTCTGGAGTTCTGCAACCGACATCAATAAATTCTTACACGTGTCTTCAGTTCGTCATCAGCATCTTTTGGTCATAGTCCAGAGGTTTTTTACAATAATTGAGTGGATCGTTTTCCGAAAATAATCCATACCCACCATTTTTCAAGTAGAAGTATGAATATGCTCAAAAGACTCAAAAATGGCATGAATGAATTATTCGCGATTCGAAAATCTTGCTAATCAAACATAAAAGCATTACAATAGTTGAAAACTGGAGCTTTAGAAAGTTCCTGTGACACTTAGATATAACAAATCAGAAACCTAGATGTGGATGGAAGATCATGAAGGAACAATGTTCTCTACAAATCAAAAGTTAATATTTCTTTCTATGGACTCTCGACAAACCTCATGAAAAAATCTAACATTGAGATGTATGAGAACGAACGAAATACAACATGGAAAATTAGGTAGCCTGTTGCCAAAGAAAGCTGTGAAGCTTCTGAGATTCTAAGGTATATCCTCAGTAAAACGGATAGTGCAAATTTAATCTACAGAGATTTAGTTGCGGAAAGAGCAAAACATTCCAGCGAATATTAAATTATGTTCTGTAAAAGTCACAAGTTCATGGAAACGAAGAAACTGAGATCCAGGAAAATTATCCACTTCTGCTGAAGGCTCAGTGTCTCGAGCTTCGAATAGAGTGAGACTATGTAATAAATGCTCTCTAGGTTGCAGTACTGAGGGGGTCGCTTAGGTCACATAAAAGACGTTCAGAAACAGATAACAATAATTTGAGAAAACTCGTTGAAAGTTGCAGCTTCCAAGTGACGAAACAAATCGAATTGGGCCACCACATGAACTTTTGCAAGATGTTTGTTTTCTTGAATAATAATAAAAATCGTTTATTGCTAAGTATACAAAATATACTTCTCATAGTAATAGTAAACTAATCGTCTAAGCTGGACAAACAACCTGCCGTAGGATTTTCACAGATCAATAGATTGGATATTGAAAAACAACGTGATGTATTATTTCAAACGGGTACTGGTTACAAATAGTAAATTTGTTCGGATTCCAACATGAAGTTGTAATTTCATAAACTACACCTAACGATTTAATCTCCACAAACTTTATTTGAGAAATATATCACGACATGTAGCTTTTTCAACAATGATTAGAATTCAAATCAATGTTGAAGAAGCTACTGTGTTGGCAAAACATGTCGTGATATATTTCTCAAATATGTGAAATTACTATGGATCTTCATCAAGTAACGGCCGAATCAATCAGAAAAATGAAATTGTAAGAGAGACGTGAGAAGGCATATGTCCTCTTTTATGAACAAGAGGAAACGAAGCAGCACTTTTGAGGTGTTTTCTTTCTTTTTCTCTTTTTATAAATTAAATTCTGTTAATTGATTTGTATTTTATGATTCTTCTTCTTTGATTATTGTGAAAGTATATATTATTTCATCAAGAGAGACACATTTGTGTTGATTTGAAAATTTCAATGAAAAGTTCCAGGAGATAGCTCTTAGAGTTCTGGGAATTTGTGAGAAATGTAGAAGAATAAAGAAAGGTCATGAGGCATAATCTATGTCATGGAATTTGTTTTCGGTAGTTTTCGAAAAGTTTTTTCTCATTATTTGCAGCGCATTGATTAAAATTTTAAATACACCAATCCAAAAATTTCTAATTATTATCATGAACAGCATTGAATCAAGTTCAGCAAGATATTATTTGCATCAATTAGACTGAATAATTTCAATAAGAAAAACAAGAACATTGAATTTTTGATGAAATCAGCAGTAATGTTAATTTCATACCAACTTTGCCAGTTACCTATATATGTAGACTGAAAAATTTTCAAACGAATATTAACAGCATTATAATGGCACTTCACACCATTGAACATATGTAACATAGAGACCCCTGTTGTGTTGCGTGTTCATACAAGTAATCAAGCATGGGAAGTGGAGATCGTAATCGTGATCGGACACATACTAGTTGACATCAAAGGTTAAGTGTACTCACTTGAATTGATGGATAATGAATACATTTGTTCAATCTAATCAGTTCGCTATAGTTCAGAAAAGACGTAGGTAGGGGGAGAAAGTTTAATGCAGTCAAGCTGCTGGAAAATAATTCTATGAAAATCAAAGATCAGTACTATTCTGATCATTCCTATATTGATTTTAACTTGAGATCCCCCGGTAGACAGCTGTTTCAGCCCATTGGGCATCGTCAGTACCGGGCAGGCAGTCCTCGAATGAAGACAAAATGTGAATAACGCACAAAAGTACTTGATGAAAATAACTTCGTAAACGCAAGCGAGACATAAGTGGAACCACCTA